ATGGGTTTTTAAATCCATGTTTTCATTATTTGCTGATTTTTTTTTTTTATAAATATTTGATATGTTTTGACATGAGCTGTAGCGTGAAAGGTTTTTGATATTTTTTTGTCATTTTTATTTATTTATTTATTTTTTTTCGATTTCTCGAAATCCACCCTTGAGTACGCCTCTGGCGTGCACCATCGACTGTGTTCGGAACAAAATCGATTTTCTATAACGGTCTCGTGCGCTGAAAATGTTAGCAATTTGGCAATCGCTCAAGGCGGTGTGCACGCAACAGGATCTCACTAATATCATGAACATTTCTCGTCGCACAGGCGGTCGTCGTGCGTTACGATTGACGGAAAACAAAACGCGATTTCATCGTTGCATTCGAGGTGCGCGGACGCATTTATTTCGAACGGCTTGTACCTACAGCCTCGAAGCATAATGGGTTTTACGGAACCGTCTAGAATATACGTACACGATGTGTCGGCATCGCCGTGCGTAAACGTCGGGCGCGCGCGCAACGACGACGTTTACGGTGAAAGAATTATTGTTAAAAAAAAATATATATATATATATATATATAAACATAAAACGACTTTTCGATTGATCACGTCGCGCTGATGTTTGATAATTGTCGGAGTCACTAGGAACATGGTCAGTCGATTGTCGACACATTTTATACTTTTTGAGAACGGGAGAAACACACACACACACGCGCGCGCGCGCGTACCATTATGAACGCATTCGTGTGTGTGTGTGTGTCAACGTCGAATTCATTTTCACGCGCATTATCATCGTTTCGCGGTCGGTGGTTCGACTTGGAACCGACCACGAACCGTGGTACCGGTAACCTGATTGCTTCGTGGCGGTAACTGTTGTCCGATAACGGTGTACACGTGCTATCACGGTCGTCGAACGTCCAAGAGAGAGCCGGTCCGCGTTCGGCGCGTCCCCGTTTCTGCCTCCGTTCGGCGTGCCCCCGCGTTACAATAACCTTTTATAAACACAGCTGTCCGCCCCGCACGTTTTGGCCGTTTACTGCGCTCGAACGCGCAACGATTACCTTCGCTCGGCGACCGTTGTGTCCACGTCCAGTTCTCCATTGTTCTCACTTGGCGTCGTCCCCGTTGCCGAACCGTTCGATCGTTACGCACTCCGATGCCGTAAGTAATTTCACACCGAAATCGATCGCTTACAAACACGCGCGTGTTCGACAAAGACATGTGGTTTAATATAGATTTCTCCGTACGTTGGTTTTTGTTCTATTTGCGCAGAGGTCACGCGAGCAAATTGTTTAAGGACTACGCGTTCGCCGCAGTGTCCAGCACGTATGTTTCCAGAGCGCTTGGCCTGATGTGCCTGAGCCTAGCTTCTTTGGCCGTCAACGAGACGGTGGAGCTGGTCAAAGGATACTTTTGGCGCAACTACATTACCGAACTCGAAGTCTCGAACTCGGATAAATGTTATCACTGGCTGTTGCAGTGGATAGCCAGACACTGCAATGACCAGCTACTGCATTTTTCTGTGACCACGACTATGCCCCAGACTGAATCGAGCCTTGAGATTCCAAAGTTCGATTACGAGCCTAGTGCTGGTGAACACATGTTCAAGTAAAAAATAAATTAAATATTTACCGAACACTAAATAATAATAATAATAATAATGATGATGATTACTAAAATCCATCCAACGCCTGTAATGAGCAATATTATTTACTATTTAATTGTCCATATTTCGTGAAGTAAAACTTTCCTTAGATGGAAATTGTATTTGTAATGGTATCAAAAATATTTTGAAATACTTATATACTATATAGATGGATAGAGTAATTAAAAAAAAAAAAAAACATTTCCCATGTACCCATTGTCTCTTCGACCACCACCTCATAGGCTTAAGCAGTGTTTTCGCACAGTTATACATACTTTATGTTTATACCGTGGCAGTAGTAATGAAGTTACAAGAGAATAAAGAAATTAGAATCAAAGTTAAACTATGTTTTTAACAAAAAAAAATTTAAAACTGAATTCTATATTTATTTAAACGTCGACATGTAATTGTAATACACAAAAAGTGTAATCCAAAACATGCTCTCGTGCTTCCAGTAGCGGTGCCTACCTACGTAGGTAATGGTTGTAGATAGGACCGACCAAATATATTATTCGTATCCTTTCGAAAATCGTGCCTACAGCTTTTGTCTGCTTTCTTTTTCTTGTATCGTACGGATATACCGATGCAGATCACCGCGACTGCAGTTATTGGGAGTGCGTGGGCTTGAATTTTTCATTAAGATTTTGTTACTGTCAGACCACCACTATATTTCTTAACCGTCGACCGGTGCAGGTACAAGGGCCACACGGTAGTGTTAAAACGGAACCGCAACCCTGTGATGACAAGCGAATATGGGACTAGGCCGTTCGAAACACTGTACCTGTCCATTTGGGGTCGAAACAAACACGTGCTGAACGAAATTCTGGAAGAGTGTAAGTATTTACCACACGTTCACATATACAATGCGTTTTCGAAATCATCAATACTTTTACACGTAGGAGCATTTTTCAATCCGTGTTTTATTAATATCGCGCACGATTGGTGGACACGATTCCAGTTTCGTAGTCATACGACTACATATACATATAAGTTCTAAGATGTGTAATGATATTCTATGTTTTATTTTACTTGACTATGAACTAGACCAAAATGTATTAACTAAATCGAATACTATAATAGTAGTTAGTTAAATAAAATATACTGTTAATTCGCATAGTATCCTTACAGTTATATTTTTTAACATTTAGGCTCTCGAAAGAAGAAAACGCGAAATGCATCAATCCCAGTGGTACGGTGGTTTGCCGGGTTTATTGTTCTCGCAGAGCATAGGTTTGTTACGGCCCAGGATCTAAGGCTAAACCGACAATATTTGACTCGAAGATCGAAACAGTTTAAGGCTCGCGTATCAAAATAGCTTTATTGGTCCGATAAAAAACGACACTCGAGAACAGTCTTCGTGCAATATATGTTTATTTTTTCTATTCCTTTTGCGTTTTGCTCGACATAAATTCCCCAACACTCGGGTTTCAAAGGACTTGACCGTGTGCACGTACCACCATAGTCACGCCAACGGTAGGGGCTCAAATATAAACACGAACGCGTGCAACATAAAATCCAGCCGAGACATGCATCGGAATCGAATCGCGTGAAGGATGGTGCGAGGTAGTAAAGCCTTCGTAGGTCCTGTATACTTCCGCGCGGAAATCTCCACTTGAACGTAAAAATAAAAAACAATCGTGTTCTCCTGCTGCAGCCAGACGGTACGCGATGTCGGTCATGGAATCCGGGACCACGCTCATGGTGCCGTCCTACGACACATGGCACAATTTCGGTGAGCCCCGAGTGCCCCGGTCAATGTCGTCGGTCATATTGGACGAGGGAGTGTTCGACCGGATACTGCGCGACGTGCGGGACTTCGTGGACGACCGATCGTGGTATATCGACAGGGGTATTGAGAATTTTTATTAATAAAGATTATTAATATATTTTGTTGGTACATTACAATTACCTACATGGCGTAGATATTCTCATTTAAAATTGAAAAGTGAAATGAAAATTTAAGGAATAAAATACAGGATATCTATATGGGATTCCTAGAATACGTTCAATTTTTTCTCTGGAGAGGAAGGGTGTTCACTAAATTATAAATCTATACACTTTTTATAAAATCCCTTATTAAGAATTATTAAGAACTTAATAATCAATAATTGATGTTCAAAATCTTAAGAGCTCATGGGGGATCTATCTCCCTATGTGTAAGCCCCTGTAATGGGCGCTAATTTTTTTTGCCCCAGGGGTGCAAATTGTCTAAATGCGACACTGATGGGCACCGCAAACTCGAATCAATGACGTCCCAGGCGGGATGCTTCGCGTTTTAGTTATGCTTCGCCGTTCTCGTTCCAGGAATACCGTATCGCAGGGGGTACCTGCTGTACGGGCCGCCGGGCTGTGGCAAGACGTCGCTGATCTTGGCGCTGGCGGGCGAATTCAAGTACAACCTGTGCGTGTTGAGCCTGAACGACGTGAAGATGTCTGACGAGCAGCTCGTTCAGCTGATGGGAGAGGTTCCGACCAAGTCGTTCGTGCTCTTGGAGGACATCGATGCGATGTTCGGCAGCAGGCAAGGCGAAACTGTTGTAGGTTTGTACATTATATATAACACGTACTCCTTGGATTGATTGTGAGGGAGGGTTTTCGGGTAAAATGTTGGGGTTGATTTCGGTACTCTTGCTGCACGGTTGAAATTTTGATGGTGGTGGGGGGGGGCAAGTCTGAAAATACCTTTACACAAATAAATAATAATGAACTAAATGCCTTTTTAATTTTTAATAACAAATTTTGTTTTTCATTTTTTTATTTCATATCATGTTTTGTAAATTTATCCAAAACGTTATCTTTGGATAAATTAATATTTCTCAGAGTATAAAGATAAATATATATTATCATCTTAATTTCATCACAAAATGGCAGTAGTTTAAAACACAAAATAGCCCTCCTGATAAAATTATTTATTTATAGCTATCTTATTAAATACCTTTGAAGAGAGTCAATCGTTTTTCACCATATTATAATCCGTTTGTAACGATTTTTTTTTTTCTCATTGTGACAGTGGGTAGTGCCAAAGTGACGCTGAGTGGTTTGCTAAATGCTCTGGATGGGGTTGTATCATCCGAGGGTCGAATTCTATTCATGACAACCAACTACATTGAAAGGTACATGCTATTATTATTACATTACAGTGGTTCACCAACTTTTTTAATCTTAGACCACATAACCTACTAGTTTTTAGTGACCCGAGAAACCAAAATATGTAATACATTATTGATATTTTTAAACTTTTTGAATCTACTAATAGTTAATAAATGAGTAGACAATATTGCTCAAGTTGTAATGTATAACAAGTATATTATTTTTGATATGAATGTATTTAAGTACATAAAATGTACATTATAACATTCATTTAATTTAATTTATTTTAAAAGTATTGATATTTCATAATTATAAGAAAAGCATATGATTAAATACCAATAAATTAAATAAATTAAAGTAATAGGTATTTTTTTTTTTTTTTTTTGTAAATTAACAATTATATTTACATAAAAATACAAAACAAAAATGAATATGTATTAAGCATATTTTTTGAAGTTATGATTGGTGCAACATTATAACTAGTGATCATAAAATGGAAATAAAACAAAAATCCTATAGGAAAATATATTACAAAACACTAAAATTTAGTAATTTGAAATGTCATCATTTTTAATTTAAATTGAAAAATAAAGTAAAATTGAGATTAACAAAATAACTAAAATCAAAATTTAAAAAAATTATTTTAACACATTTTTAGCTAGTAAAGTTCGCCTATGATGTTAAAAAATTGGCATCAAAATATGGGTCAAAGTTTTCATATATACCTACAATGATATTTGTTAATATAATTATTTTTTTGGTATTTAATATCCTTTTTGGAAATACTCAAGGCTAAAAGGCAATTTCAAGCCACAAATTTCACTCTTCCTGTTGGTAACTTTGAAAAATAAGCAGAGTACAGTCCAATTAAAGTAGGAATAAATAACTATTCTTGTCACATATTGATTTCAGATTAGATTCCGCTCTGGTTCGGCCGGGTCGTGTTGATTTCAAACAGTATATTGGTACATGTTCGAACTATCAGTTATTGCAAATGTTTGCTCGGTTCCGTCCAGACAGCACAGAAGATGATCAGAAGAGATTTATAAATGAAATATCTATACAAAACAAACCGGTGGTTCCAGCTCATTTGCAAGAGTTTTTTTTGGCTCAGAGGCATAAAAAACTAGATGAATTGTTTGAACATATAAATGATTTATGGCAGGATGTACAAGACATTCAATTATAACAGAGTAACAATAATATTTATAATATTAATTTAAAAAAATAATAAGATAATTTTTTATGTACAGAAAAATACTAAGTACATAAAAAATCAATGTTCAGTCAAATATCGATCTTTGAGCACAATAAAAGAGTGTCATGAATATTTAAAGTGTTAGAAAAAGAACAATAACAAAAATGAATTAACAGAAAAAAAACAAGTGTATAAACTACATTCATTATCTTTTGGGATCAATTGAATATAATGCTATTGTTCCATCCATAGCGCCAGTAGAAAGCAAAACTTTCTGAGGGTGAAATGTAGTGGTCCTTAACGGTGGATAACGTGAACTCATGAACCAATCTGATAACTTCAATGAGTTCAATAATTGACCCTCTGTGTTGTAGAACAATAACATTTGATTTACACTACTACTAAACATACAAAGTTTGTTAGGTTTAAAAATAATCATGATCATTAAAACAATTTATATTTACCATGCTATTATATTGCACATTGAATGAATGGATGCAGAGTGCATATTATTGACATGAAATTCTCGCTGTGATGCACTTTGACCAAACTCAAATGTTTTGATATCCCCATAAGCACTATTACATATTGTTATAAATTTAATTTTATATTATATCAGATGATTTATTTAATGAAAAGCCATCATTTTTTATATAAATGTATGTGTTTTTGAAGATTATATTTTATAAAACTTCAAATAAAAAAAATTAATATATACATAAATTTTCAATAATTTAGTAAAATTAGAAATACACATTTAGGTACACATAAACATATTAATATTGACAAAAAAAAAAAAATAAATAAAAAAAATAAAAAAAAATAAGAGAGAGAAACGTTAAATTTTAAAGTTATTTAGACAGCATTTATTCAAAAACACATAATAAATATATCAATATAAATTAAAGTCTTATGTCGGATGGAGAAATTTTTTAGTTTATTTACCAACTAAGTTAAAATTACTTACCTAGCAGATACTACAGAAGCATCTTGTAGCCTTAAGGTAAGTATTTTACTATGATGTCCAATAAAAGAGGCTATTCTAGCTTCATCTGGTGGTAGCCTTTTATCAAATACTTTAATGGAACCATCTTTACAACCAGCAGCAAATATATTATTTTCTAAATGAATAACATTTTTAATTGTAAAATAAAATCATTAGATTTAATGTTAATTGTATAAAAAATAATATTCTAACATATTGCTAAAAATAAAAGTCGGAAACTCTTACAACAAAAATTGTAAATAATAGACATTTTTGTAGACTTATCTTCAAAATTATAATTAAATTTATGACGAATATTGACAAAGTATAACTTACTTAAAAATATTCTGTATTAATATAAAAATATTCATTATTATAGTCTAAAGGCAAAATAATATTTCTTCATATATAAAATCTTTTTGTGTTAATTTAATTAATGTACTAAGATGCCATTGATTTTCAAGATCATTAAAAAAACATTAAACATTAAAAAAATATAATTAAATCAATTTTTGTATTTTATGAAACTATTATCCACGGATTGCTTAATTGTAGCCCCAATGAATAAAATATATTATCAAAATTTGCTAAGTTTAAGTAAACGAATAAATTACAATGAACAGTGAAAACTAGCAAATTGTTTTAATAAAACGGTTAATAACTGTGCTACTATTATTACATAACACACATTCTCAAACATTTTATTTTATAACATATTTCATTAAGATGAGATTTCTATAAATATTTAAGAAATGTAAGTAAAATTTATAGTAAAATTTTTATATTATATTTTTATATTTATATTATTTTTATTTTTATTTACTATGACAAAACTGTCGAATACATTTACGAACAAATAAAAATTAAATTAAAAAAGTAATTATTTTTTCCCTAAATAAATATCTTGTTAGTAGTATTTGAACTCTTACCTTTTAATTGCATGGAGAGACTCGTCACAGAAGCATTAACTCCAGTGGATAAGGCTGTTAATTTAGTTTCAGTTTCAATATCCCAAATGTTTATGACTCTTGAATCACCTGCACAGATTAGATGGCAAGATCTTTGATCCCATTGGAGTGCCACTGGAAAACCAAAAGAAATATTACCATATTGTACATAATTGTAGTCGATAAATGTTTGGTTATGAACCGCTTACTTGAAGAGCTCTCGAAACTAGGACTTTTACAAATAGGTAATGCGTGCCAACCAGAAACCAATTTAGGAGGACCATCAATGAATTGAGACCAAACCTGAATATTTCCATCATTATAACCAGCCAATATTAATGAAACATCATGACTGTTAATTAGTTCAACTACAGATAAGTGTGGTGCTGATCTATATGATAAATCAAGATTATGATTTCTGAGATCAGGTTTCCATTGACTTAATTTATAGCTACTTTGATAATCCCACACTCTGAAATATTTATTTTATGAAAACATAAAAAATATTATTTAAGTTTGCTTCAAAAAAAAGAGATAATAATAATAACTTACGTTAAATAATCTTTAGTAGCTACAACTACATGTGGATCATATGGATGAAAGACTAATGAATTAGGTGATTGTTTACATTTTGATGAAAATATTTGATGTTCTATTTTACAATTTAAGTTATTCACTTTGTTTTGTTCTTCTTGTGCTTCTTTGCGAAGAGCCATATTTCGAGTATACCTATTGAAAATTAAAATTATTTATGTGGACTTCAGAACAATGGTTATTTTAGCTTTTAATGAATTTAATCTTATTTTATTATCTATATCTATATATTGATTACCTCCAATCGCGTTCATAGTATATGGCACTCTCAAAGTCACCTCCATCATTCAATCCACTCAATGGATGAGCAAAGTTTTTAGACACCCATTCAAAAAATTGAGATCTCAATATAGTCTTGGTTTTATTTTTAGTATCTTTTTCACCATCACTTTCTACATTTGGAGGCGAAGATGATGATGACAGCACAGAAGATTCTTCTACAATCTAACCGTACAAAAAATACATTAGTTATTATTTATTCTGATCAAAAGATATTTAATAAATTACATACAGTGTTTGGTACAATTTTTCTTGTTCTTGAGTTGGATCTATGTTGTACCATGGGTGTCTTATGTTGAGAATGAAGGTCGTTAACAGATAAAGGAGGAGATTCTCCTTGACTAAATAATACAAAACATATTTCACTCAAAAAAAGAATAAACAATTTAGTGGTAATTGATTAATGTATTACCTGAGATAACTTCTTGATGATGGAGACGCAGGTAAAGAATGTGATGCACGACTATCTGGTCTGTTTTTAAGCTAATTGAAATGAAACAATTGAATATAATAAAAATTTTGGTATACATAAAAAATTATTAAAATACTTACTTTCTGCCTAATGTATTTAGTTAATTTCTGTGCAGTAGCAGCAACATCTGGAAAAATATCATGTTCCAAAGCAGTTAAGCCCTTCCATAATTGTGAGTGTACATTATTATAGGCTGCAGTTGATTGATAAGTATCTGAAAAACAATAACTATTTTTTAGTGATGTCCTATTATAGGAAAAACTTATGAACAAACCTAAGGTAACTATTGATGAGGATGAATTTGTACGCCTTAAATATTCAGACTTGATTTCTTCTGGCATTTCATCTGAAGTGCTAAGACTAGGAGAAGTTTGAGGTAAAATCACAGTGACAATTGGACTAGTAGATGAATACAAGAGCTTCTCTTTAGAGCCCATTCTTGATAGGCTGGCTGTCTTTGAACTGCCATTTGGACCTTAAAATTAAACAAAAACAATTTATTTTGTTCAAAATCCTAAAATTAAATATATAAATTACATTTTTTTACATACTTTTATAAAAAGATCCATATTGTTTTTCAGTTTGATCCTGCAATGCTATTTCTAAAAAATACCTTTCAAAAGCAATAACAGTCCACTGAAGAGCAATGATGACTTCCTAAATGTAAAATTTGATTAAAAAAAAAAAAGATTAAAAATTATGTAAATATTATGAAATTGCCTTTATTTTACCTCTCTAACCATGGGACTCATATCTTTTGCAACTGTATTCAGTAGAGTTAGAGCAATACTTTGATCAACATTCAACGCATGATTACTACGGTCTTTATCACAGCTAACATAAGTACCAAGAGCAAAAACTGCTGCAGCACGAACCTGAAAATATTTTCAGAGTTCAGTAATTTATTAATACTTCAAAAGCAGATTTATTTTGATTTTTTCTTCAATTTAATTTTTTTATTACTATACATCTATTAAAATTTATTTTATTTTTCCTGATTTGGTCTTTTTCTTTAAAAAGTTTAATAATAGTAATTATTACTTCGGGTATTTTGTCTTCTAATAACAGATAAAGTTTTTCATGTGCTGTATCCCGTACACCAACCCATCGAGCTTTATCATAATCAGCCCATAGTTGAGCAAGGCATAATGTCAACCATTGTTTATAAGGAGGACTAGCATTGGCTAATTGTTCAAGACATATGCACACTAAATTGTTCTTAAGTCCTAATTGTTGGCCATTCCTGTAGTTTTGCATCAGACGAGATAAAACAACAGCTCCTAACATCCTTTGTTCTTCCTGAAAATAAACATAAATTAAAAATAATTAAAAAAATTTAAATACACTATAAATAATACTTGGTTTATATTTACTGGTTATTTAAGAAAATTAGTATAATACATGACTATTAATTAATTCAATTTTAGTTTAAGAAATGTATGTTTATTTATTATAGCAATTTGTCATAAAGTAATAAACAAATAAATATAAATCACAACTATGATAATTAAAGTAACATATTTGAAGTTAAAAGATAATTAAAGGGAATGTGATTTTGATAAAGTAAACTTTCTCAACAGAGTATTTATAATTTTAAGCTTGTAAAAATTATACTAATTTATTTTATTCTATTAATGAAAAACTATAGTTAATATAATTTATAATAATAATATAAATAATTTTTATACTCACAGGCAATTGTATATCTTCAACCAATTGAAAAAAATACTTAAAACCATTTTCTCTAACAATATCAGTTTGGCAAGTCTAAAAATATATAAATAAGAACAATTTTTTTTTTAATATTATTCATAATAAAACACTTACATGGTCTACAGCCATTATTTTTGCCCAAATAAAAGCTAACATTGGTCGCAACTCAACAGCAAAACTCTGCAATAATTTTAGTATATATGGAAATATTCCTACAGATAAAGTCAAGTTTACAGCCCATGGTCCTAAATCTAAAAATCTACCTAACAAATCTAATGCTCGAAGTCTATGTGCTTGACTTAAAAGAACCTATAAAAATTCATGGTAAAATATTTAAATATTATTGAGTAACATAAATTGATATTTATTGTTCTATTACTTGAAGTACAATGGGAAGCTGTTCGGGTACACTACGTTGTTGTGTAGGTAAACAAGCTGTGTGGTCAAGCCAAATTTCAAATGCAGTTAATTGCTCCTCAAAAAATGTTGTACGAACAAATAAACCATCACCGTGATCTTGGACACGTTGTAATTGAGATAAACATAAGTCTAAAATATGATCCCATGACTGCAAATAAAATATTTCTACATATTATTATAATACTAGTAAATTTTAAATATTGATTGGAAATAGTTTTGTATGGATAATATAATTAATTAAAGACACCACAGAAAAATTCTTCATTTTTGTTTAATATAATAAAACTGCTCTCTGTACTCCAACAAATTATGAATTACATTTCTTTACAAACCTGCCACATAGGGTGATTATGCATTGGTGGTAGTTTAGGTGAAGATACTGGTTCACAGTCATAAGTTCTCATAATACGTTCAGCCAATAAGAAATTTCTTAGTAGACTAGCAACTAAAAGGTCTTGCCGAAATAATGTTTGAAAAGTATCTTTAAAAATTGTATTTAATTTTTTAATTTATCTTGTACTTATATATCTTATTTTAAGTTTCTAATTTTACCTCGAGGCAAAACATTCCAAGCTATTGTATCAGTGATTGCAGTAAATACCCAGTTCAATTCTCCCAACATTGTCCGTCGATCATTTAATGTACCCGGGATTCTAATGCAATCATAAATATAGATTCAAATATAAAAAAAATAAAAATAAAAATAAAATAATAATAATTATTAAGGAATAAAACTTACTTGTCAACAAATTCAAGAAATAATTTTGAGCCATATTTTGACATATTTTGCATTACAAACCTAAAAAATATTAAACTTTACAAGCACTTTACAGCACACATTTTTTTAAATTCTATAACTATTAGTCTATCCAAGGATTATCAAAGATAGATATAATTTTTATTTGTATATAATTTTTTAAACAGGCCTGGCAAAATAACATAAGTAGTTTAACAATAACAACTGTTCATTCTTTAAATGAAAAATACAAAATAAGAAATATAACATAGGAATACAGCTATGAAATATCATTAAAAATAAGAAGCTTATGAAACATCCGATGAAACATGTATCATTGTATTATACATATTACATATACAAATTAAATCGAATGGATTAATTTACAATTATTGGAATAGATATGAGTAGATCAGGATGATAGATATCATAGAGAACATAAGAGTAAAAATATTTGAAAACAAATAAATTATTAAAACCAGAGAAAGCTAAGTTTAAAATCGTCCCAGAAATATTAATAACATTATTAAATCGAAAACAATATAAAAAAGTAAATTTAGATAGAAATTTTGGCTCTGAGATAAATAATTGTTTAATAAAATAAGTAGCTTAAGCTAGGGAGATAATGTAATATAATAAAATTGTAATAATAAAAAAACATTTTTTTTTTTTTTTAAGGATACTATACTTATGTTATTATATTTGTATATTATAGTAAGTATATGTTTCACTTACTCAAGTCTTATATTTTTTTACACCTAGAATTTATTAACTTATAATTAAATTGAATGGTGAAAACAAAATTTTGGTTTTCTGATCAGTTTTATTTTTAATTCAAAATTTAAAATTTGAAAAAAATGCACGTAAATCATATATTATATTGATAAGATATTAAAATGAAGATAAAAACTAAAGTGCCTTACATAGATAATTGCTTCACCTTCAAATTGTTAATTTATCATTTGCTGTATAAGTAAAACAAAACACAAATTATATGAATATATTTTAGTGTGAATAGTATTTAAATAAATAACTTGTTTTGTTGATAAAAATGTTTTTACATTTTGGATTGTAGTTTTATATCTCTAAATATTATCAGTTAAATTTTATCATAAAATAATAATTGTTTTTTTTTTCATACAAAACAGGAAATTTAAGTGAAAATATGTTTTAGAAAATCTTATCTAAAATATGAACAGCATGTAAAGTATGTGAAGTAAAATTTGTTATACTGATCTATATAGTAGTCAAATCATTAGAAGAACAGATATTTTAGTCAAATTTAGATAAAAAAAAAAAGAACATTAAATAGGGTAATGTACTTTTTTTTCATAAATTCTTTAGTCCTGACAACAATATTATTGAACAGTTTAAACTAACAAAGAGGGTAATTTAATTATAAAGAATTTATACGTTAAAAAGATTCATTAAAAAAAAAAATATTTATAATGGATGAATGAATAATTGATTTTCACATAAAAAATGATTTAAACCAACATTTTTATAAATTATAATTAGACAACTACATTTGTAAACATTTTTAACATGGTTTATTTATTAAAATAATAAATAGAATAATAGAAGAATATTTTAAAATCAATGACCAATGCTAATGTTATATTAAAATCTATATTATGATAGAACACTTCTCAATAACTGCAGATATTAATTAAAATGACAGTCATAATTCTACATAATAAATGTAGTATTGTTTGATTAGTATTGAAGCAATTAATTTAATTTTAACTGTTTTTTTTTTTTTATCTGATAATATTCTGTATTTACCTCATGAACTTTGACCTTAAGCATATAAGATGTTTTTATAATTTTGAATACTAATGCAATAATTTTCATAATAACAAGAATTAAAACAGTGTATTACACGAAATAAATGTTGAATAACTAATGCATCATAAAATTTAAAATATTGCAATTGCCATAGGTCATGTATAATATAATCTCACATAAAACTATTGGATAAGCATTATAACATTTATTTTGTTAATTAGGTGTACATAATCATGTATATTTTTAATTATTGTAAATTATGAAAATACTTGAAAACTAATAATGGCTTAAGCAACTTATTCTAAAAAAAATGTATGAATTTATCTTACCAACGAGCAGCCATTTTAATTGGTGTAGTCAGGCAAGAAGTGAACAAATCAGCAGGCAAATCTGGATGCATTGGAAGGGTTTGATCTATTTGACACGCACCAAGTTGAATGCAATTTTTAAAAGAAGGTCCTCCTTCAGGAAGTAAAAATAATGGATTTTGGGTAGCATCATGCTGAAAATTAATCATAAATGCTATGTAAATAAAATGTTTTTATAAATTTATAAAATAACAATTACAGTTAAAAATAAGTATATAACTAAGTATTTTCAAAATGTATAGATCAAAAAAATTATAAATACAGATATAACATTATTTTTAATTAAATCATCACTATTATATTTATTATAGTCCATATAGATTACAAATAAATACATTTAGCTTTAAAAAAATGCATGAAGTTATTAATACATTTTTTATAAGATTTAAATTCTTATCTTAGAATAAACTGCATTCATTGTAAAGTTTTTCATGGAATCAAATGAATACTTATTGGAAAAAATGTTTAATTATACTTATGGTTATTTATAAATAAATTTTAGAAAAACAAAAATAATCAGTCATAATAAATAAAACTTATGTTAAAATATTATAAGGTATTAATTAAAATTTGAATTTATTTGTGATACTTTTAAATTAATAATAACCAAAATTATAACGACTATGGATAGCAGAACCTAATTAAAAAAATAAAACACATTAATTTAATATCTACTTCATATTTTTGTCATAATATAAGCATTATCAATACATACAAATTAAATTGCCAATTTAATTTTCTACTACGCAAATGAATATTACATAAGCAATCATCATCATTCAAATTCAAAGTTTCATTTTTAAGGTAGAATATTATTGTTTTCAAAGGAAAAAAATAATTTCTCCATGATAATAACAAAAGAAAACAATACTTGCCAACATTTCTTTTTCGTGTTGTTCGGCAAATTGGTTAAACAATTTTACAATCATTCCAGCATTAGAACAATCATAAACATATATAGATGGAGAACCCATCCATGATTGCAAATCATATATGGACAAAGGAATGTATTGAGTATATGCCTGAAAATCATTTTAATATTTTAAAAAATCTATTTTTTAACTATTAAAATAGATAACATTGAAACAAAATACCAACCCTATTAAATACCCAAATTTCACCATTTGATGTAGGTTTTGGTACACCATGCCCATTATAATGAAAAAGTACCCTTTCTTCTTTTGCATTTCGTCTCAAGGAAACGCATAATTTTTTTACTTCCTCTATAGTTGGGTCTAACGATAGTTTGTAACGCGCTCTCGGTTGCCACCTCTCGTACTGTTTTTGTAAATTTCCTCCGATTACTTCCAATGCCTTTTGGGAAACCATCATCAATGGGTCTAGGTAAGACAAACAGAAGTAAGAGTAAAAACGAGAGATCATTGTCATATAGCACATGATGGTGAGTAGTACCTATCCAACATTCTAGACGAGCACACGGCTGTATTTTGAAAATGTCCGGAGGGTCTACACCCACATTTAGACACAGGACGAGTGCGACGCTCACAGTTTTCATCTGTAATGGGCAGAGCGAGGGGGGAAAAAAAAAACGTTAGTAATACAGTAGTAACACAAACAAGGTAGGCAGCGACTAGACCGGCGGCCGAAACTGAGACAAGTGCGACAACCACTCACCCGTTCCTTGAGCCGCCAAGAGCTGACCACGGCGTCGACACATTTGATTTCTTCGGTGTGCCTTTTTTTCGTGAAACACAGCGGCAACTGCCAGTCGGCGGCCTCTATGCTGTCGGCGCTGCCGGACAATTTGGTCAGCGTTTCTTCCATTCATGCAGACGTCGACGATTAACATTCAACGGCGGTGACGTGACACACGCGCGCAGGAGGGCGTGCAGATGGTGCTCTTGGGTTTTGCGACTCGACGGACGACGAAAGCACATAAAATTTGAATCGGAACGCAGCGGCTGATCGACGCACACAACAACGCCCGACCTCGTGTTTGTTATCAGATCGAGTGGGTCTTATCTCGCACCAGTCGTCCTCCGCGGCGCAGCAGTAGCCACTCGTACTCTTTCGAAAACAGTAATAATAATAATGAAATGTCGTATGCGCGCGCGCGCGCTCTCTCGTGTCCCGGTCGTCTTTCGAACGACGTCGCAATTAGTTTTTGATAAAGTTTTTCCGTAACGAAGTTACCGCGATCATGGTAAAAACATGTGTCTGTGTTACCGCAACTACGACGGCACGCATGTGATACTAGACTTACCAACAGCATCGGGCCGACCGCCGTCGTCGTGAACTGTTTCTCTAGTTTTCCGTACGTTTTTCATTTTATTTCGTTTCACTGTTTTTTTTCCCTTTTTGTTTTTTTTTTGTTTTTCACCCCTCCTCGTCACAAATTTCGACCGTACAGTAATTTTCCCGGTGCCCGTTTTCAGTCCATCGCTCGAACGTTTTCGACGGGGCAGTATTTGCATTTGCACCCGTTTACTTTCACCACATCGGCCTCCGCGATAATAATAATACTACCTTCACGTCTTACCGGATTTCATTCGGGTCTATACGTTTTGTTCGCAGGCGCTCGAGAAACATTGTTATACTTTCTATCGACATTTATTTTGTGTATCAATATATACTTTTGGCTTTTGCGATCAGTGCCAATTCCTGTAAGTGTTGATGATGTAATTCGCCAATACAGGTGTGTTGTTGATAAGATCGTTACTCGATTCTATTTTGCGTAGAAATGGACCAAAGGGTGTCAACATCATCGTCGTCGTCATCGTACAGATCACGTCGTGCAGCTGGTACGAGTTGTGTGATATGTTTCAGACCGCAATCAATTTTCTCTATCGGACCTTGTGATCATCCTGTATGCTACGAATGTTCGACTACCATGCGAGTGCTCTGTGATCAAAAAGAATGTCCAATTTGTAGGCGTATTATGACTAAGGTCCTTTATCCACTCCGTTCTAAGTATTTACTCAAACATCTAACTTAATCTATGATAACAAATGCTATACTATTAGTACTGATCATATATCTTATATAATAGAGTAAGTTGTATTAGAAATCTTTATATCATTTCAATACAAATTTAATAACTACATACATCATATCGTATCTCAGATAAATTATGCTCGTTAAAACAGTATACAGTAAAGTTCTAGTGAAATAACGTAATAATAAACAGAGGACATCATTCAACTATTTATTAACAGTATGATTTTTGAATTATAGATTTAATTGTTTTAAGTTTTATGAAATTGTTTGAGTTATTTTGTGAAAGTAAACTCATACTTAAAATAAATGTATTTTTAATTTTGTGTACCGCCTATACATACAAGGGAAAACTTTTTATTCACAATTTAGTTGCCAGTCATGTGTATATATATTAAACTTCATTTTTTTTTTTTTTTAAATACAACTTTGACTTCAATTTTTGGTTCAATAATCCATACACATACATATATATATATTCTGAAACAAATAAAAATATAATTTTTAAGATTCTGAAAAATTATTTGAGTTATATTTGAGTTAATGTATATATGAACCATTAATATTGATATATAAAGTATAATTATATATTTATAAACTTGGGCAAAAAAAAATTTTTTTTTTAATTAAAATTTAGTTAGTACCTATAATAAAAGTATTTGCCAAATGTATTATAGATGTTAAGTTGATTTCAAATTATTTTCAGATATATCAATAGTTTTTGTGATAAAATTATTTATATATTTTAGTGAATAATATCAAATATTTAATTGTTTAAACATTTTTTTTAAAAAAACACCCACTTGTGGTCTTTATAATTTTTCACATGAAATTTCAAGTATTACCTTTTGTTTGAGCTATTGTTTACTTATCCTAAATTTGCACTACATTTAAAATTCTATTATTTTTCTTTCTAAAGATAAATTGAAATTTAGAGGTCAAAAACATTTCATTTAAATGCTTACTTATTTTTAATGCATTTTTGTGGTATTTTAATCATTACCATAAATATTTGTATTATAATACACATATATGTTTTGTACTTGATGCACTATTACATCGCCCTTCTTAGATATTTTTAACACAACAATTGTTGTCGTATTATTATACGTTCATGCCTGATTTTATTAAAACTGGATTGTTTTCTGTCTAATAATATTGTTCAGCAGTATTATACAGTTTCAATTTTAAAATATTCTTGTACAACATAAATTACACTTTTTTTCAATTATATTTATTTCAACATTCAAAACTAATTGTATTATTTTCAGCTAATTAATAAATATAATATATAATTAAATACATGTCTAATAAATGTAATTAACTGATTCTAAACATATTTTATTTAAAACGTAGTTAAATATGATTGGTATTTTATTTGTGTAAATGTTACTTGAAAATATTTATTTATATTCTAGAAAAGGCAATTTTTAATACACTAATTATTAAAGTTTTCTTTGCCTAATTTCAATTGCCATTTAAAGCAATCAATTGATTAATTTATGTATAATTATTGAGTATAAATATGCATTTATATATAACTAAATATAAATTAATATCGTTAGCAAATAAAAAATAGATATAGACAATATTTAAAAACAATTTTGATATAATTAATTTGAATCATAAGTCTGATTTGTGATTACTTAGAGAACTACTTGAAATAATATCTAACTTAAAATATTTTTTTTCTCTTTTTTGAAATATTAATATTATTAATTCTGAGTTATGTTAAAAAATTAATTTCCAAGTTTTCCTTGACTTTTATTTTGATCGCATGTACCTCACGATTTTTTGTTATTTATTTGCCTTTCCATGGTTAATCCTGAATCCATGCCATTTATTTTACATTAAAGAAATATATGGTGATCATTTTTTTAAATGTTGATTATCAGTAACAAATGGCAAAGTCAAAATATAATAATACTTTTTTAGCATTTATGCATTTATTTATATGATATAAATTAAATATAGTTTAGTATTAAAAACTTCAGCATTTAACTCTGGGTTTTTCCAAGATCAGGTTAAATCGTATAATTTATAGTTTACGGTAGTATGTTAATATTCCTAATTAATATTGTATTAATTATTATAATAGGTCATTTTTACCAGAGATGTGAACCTTTTTAAAAACTTGGAGGATTGTCAATACTCTCGTTACAACAAAAAGTATGGGATAGCCTTTGACAGCCTTTCTGTAGAGAACTCATTTGATCAGTTAATGCGTTGTACCTGTAAAAAATGTTATGATCGACCAGATTTTGCAGGATTTGAACAATTATCTACACATATGGAACGATACCATCGTTTATATGCTTGTCGTCTTTGTGTAGATCATTTAAAGGTAATTTTATTTAAACATTTTATAAATATTTGTTACGTATATTAACATTTTTTCAAATTAATATTAATTTATATTTACTTTAATATACTTAGATTTTTCCTAGTCAAAGACGCTGGTATAATTATGATGAGTTAGCTAGACATGAAGAATTTGGAGATCCTGAAAATACATCTCACCGAGGTCATCCAGCTTGTCATTTTTGTAATGTGCGTTATTTGGATAAAGATGAGCTTTATAAACATTTAAGAAAAGAACATTTTTATTGTCACTTTTGTGATGCTGATGGTATCCAAGACTATTATATGTATGTATTGATTATACTTTACTTATAATTTATGTTAGCAATATTAGGATAGTTAGTCTCAGACTGTAAAACATGTATAATGTTATTATAAGAGAGAGAGATAGTTTCTCTTTGCATACCTTTATTTTATGTTTTCTAATGCCATAAATAATTATTACTCGCTAGTTTTCTTAAATGTGTAAGTTACACTTATTTAGTTACTAATAACGTTTACATAATGTTATCCAGGACTTATGAATGGTTAAGAAAACATTATCATGATAAACATTACCTTTGCGAGGAAGGCAATTGTGTCAATGAACAGTTTACATCAGTTTTTCGTTCATCAATTGATTTGCAAGGTAAATTAATACTGTACTACCAACAGATAATAATTCTATAAAAAGAGATAATTAATTATTTTTTTTATTTTATCTTGTGAATAAAAAAAGCTCATAAAGCGCAAGCTCACAGTAGAGACATGGGAAAACAAGGTTACAAAGAAGCACGAACTTTAAGGCTTGAATTTAATTTACGACCTCGACATAATCCACTAGTCGAAGCTGGTAGACCTAATCAATACCAACCTCCACCTGACACTTCGTTAGTATTTTTGATTAGATTAAATTGTTTAATAAAAAATTTAATAACTATATTACACTTTACCTTAATTTGTTACATAGGTATAATTCTGCTCAAACAACCGACCGTACTATTAACGTTCGCAATACTTCAGATTTTCCTTCTTTGAACGGTCAACATACAACAGTCCTACCTTGTGCTCGTACTAGAAAACTGAACAATCCGGTTAATACACGAGATTTAAACTTGTTCCCTGCCCTTGGTCAAGAAACAGTACCTCCGCCTAAGCCCCAAAAACCAACTAATAACATTCGAATGGCTGCTGCAGCAGTACTAAAAAAACCAGCTGAGCTCTCTAGACCAGATAGAAATAGAGATGCAGCAACTGCAGGGCCTTCAGGTTCACGTCTGCCAAATCAAGCAAGAGACTTTCCATCTCTAGATGGCAATCAGCAGCCTAAGGTAAAAGAGGTTGCAATGGCATCCTCTGCAAGTTCTAGTGGCAGTTGGGTGTCGAAAGCGAAGACAGCAAATGAAAACCAAGAGGAAAAGAAAAAAGCCAAGAAAGAGACGGCAGCCATTAAAAAAAAGATAGCTGAAGCACCTAAAGTGCCAGGACCATCAGACTTTCCAAATTTGAATAAAAAGTTAGAACCAACTAAAAGCAACTTGGCCAAGTTGGGCAACAAAAAGAAGACTGACAACTCAAAGAAAATCACACCGGTAGAAGTCAACAATAATAACAATCAAAATGGGAAAAAAAATAGCTTACAACCTGTTGCAACAGAAAATAATAATGTCTCTAGAAAGGTAGTGGATAGTGTCAAGGCTGCAGCCACCGACAACCTAAAAGAAAATAATAAACCAAGATCAAAATCTGCTGTTGAAACTCGATGCAATGGCACCGGTGGTGGTGAATTGATGAGGACAACTAAGACCGCAACTAGTAAAACAGAAACAAATTGTAATAATAATACTAAAGCCATTAGTACTACTGAACCGAAAAAAGAGTCAAAGAAAAAAGAGAATGGTGGCCCCGGGCCTCTTCTAGAGAAACAGGATGAAAATAGGGCTGTTGCTACAGTGGTTGTGGCAGATGTAAATAATCCAAAAGATAAGAAAAAAAGGAAAAAGAATGAAAACAGAGAAACTTCAGTGACTTACGCGTCACAAAGGCCACAAGAAAGTCTCTCTAAACCATCAAGCACGCCAAAAGTTCCCCCTGGTTTTGAGAATAGCTTTCACCATCCAGTCAGAGCACCTCCTGGATTAACGACTGGAAGCGGAAGTAACAGCGAAGTAAACCGTTCACACACTCAGATCAAAGCCCCTCCAGGTTTATCATTATCTAGTAATAACAGCAAATCAGCTGAGTACTTACATCCAATTGGCTCGACTGTCCGGAACCAAGTGTTAATCAACAACTTGATGGTAGCACTTATACCAGCGCGTGATGAGCGTTTTGATACTTTTGAGAAGTTCAAAGAAATGTCTACATTATTTCGAAAAAACATCATCACCGCATACGACTTTTACTCTTACTGCGTAGAAGCACTACAACCGCACAGTTTTGAATCTGTTTTTCCAGAACTTTTGTTGTTATTGCCTGACATACAGAAGCAACAGGTGTGTTACATGTTACACTGTTAACTGTTTACAACTGCTTAACCCTATGATACCTAATCTGTGTATATTATCACCTTATCAAGTTGTTAGCATTACTATTTACTTGTGTATACTATGAAAGATATTTTTTTAAACTAATTTGATGATTGTATTATTTAATTTATTTTATAATTTGAACCCTTTCAAAACTTAAAATTTCAATAGCTTTAATAAAATAATAAGTAAAATATTTGTGAATGTATCTAGAATATAAATTATGTCCAAGGCTAAAATCCCGATGAATCATTTAAATTTCTCAATTAGATTAGTTCTTTACTTAAAATTCTACAATATAAGACCTTCAAGTAATTCTAAGAGTTCCAAACATGATTTGAGTGCTCCATAGTTTTAAATATGTAATACCATTATTTTGTGAAATGTGTAATATTATCAATAAATCTATGAAATTTTCAAAATCCAACGATGTATAATCAAAACTAATTTAAAATTTGGCTTTCAATATTAGATATATACATTTACAGTCTTAAAGGTCAAATTTATCTAATGATCGTTTTTTATTTTTGCTGTCCTTTTAGGAATTGCTGTACATTTACAATCGAAATAGCAGAGAAGAGATGAACGTTAAAGTTTGTAAACACTGTCGACAAGTATTGAAAGACATTGACATGGAACACCATTTGTCTGTTCACAATTCTGCACGCAGCTAAAACTTAACAGTGGATTACTGCCATTCATATTTATTTGCCTAAATGCTTAATTTTGGTTCTGTAATATACATGAGAAAATATTGAATTTTTAAATACATCCAGATTTTATTATATCATCAATTATTTATATTTTTCATTCTGCTGGTTGATGCAAAAAATATCAAAATGTTATGTATTTTTTTTTTTTTTTTTTCATTTACTTCAACTCAATTTAGAAAAATAGTAATAGCATTGGATTAAGAACACCAAGTTTTGGTGAACACCTTTAAAAATGATCGTAAAATTGTTGTTTGTCAATGCTCAACAAGTTGTTATTTTGTCATACATACCCATTTTGTATTACTGTTTAGGTATTACAAAGAAAATATTTATTAAGAACAAAGTCTCTGTTAACATTTTAAGTGAATCTTGTATCCCATATTTACATATATATATTTAATGCATATCTATTACTTATGAGTAGTTTAGGAATGTAATAGTTTTTCAATAGAATAATTAGAAAAAACTGCATTCTACTCTGTATACTTTACACATAATAAAATATGTGCTTATGTAAGTGATTGCTTTATTCAATGTACAATTTGTATTATATTGTTTTAGTTATTATTTAAGGGATGAATACTCTATTTGTTTTCAGTCGGTCAGACAATAATGTTATTTTAGATTAATAAATGATATTAACTGTGTATTTGAAAAATAAGTAAATTGTTTTTATAAAAATATGTATCTTTGATATATAAATCAGAGAAGCTGAACCATTATGGAATCATGCGACTCGCATCTTATCAAAAGATAACAATTTTAACTTATTGTAAAATAAATTTAATGTTAAAAATATTTATTTGAAAATGTAATCATTATATTATTAAAGCATAATTATATTTTTTATAAAATTGTATTACTATTGATATTCAATACATTACTTTTTTTCTCGTGTACAACAATACGCATCTTTATACAAATAAAATAATTCATGTTTTGGTGCTTTACCTAGAAAGATAATCACATCAAAATGAAAAAGGACATATCTACATTTTACAGGTTAGAGATTGAAATAATATTAATAAATTTCAATTCAACAAAACATATTTTATTACCTTAGATAGTCTTGTACAATGTAATTATACATATATAATAAAATTTTAGTGATAAAACCAAAAATAGAACTCTGATAACACACAAAAAAAAAAAGTATCGATGTATATTGGGACTTTTGTGATTATCTAATAAAAATAATTAATTAAATTACAACTTTAAGAATTTTTTTTTTTTTGTTTACATAGTGATGCAATGGTTAATAAAATTTACTTCTATATAAAAATATATATATATATATATATATTAAAAAAATTAATTGAAAAACATTTGACATTAAATCTTCAACAGTAACATATATATTATATATAATATACAAAATATTCTTAACATTTCGTAAATAATTATTAATTATATTATAGTCTTTATGTCTCTTTAATAAGATTTTAACTAACTAATTAAATAGTTTTTTTTTTATTAATAAGAAAAACCAATAGACAAACGGAACCCATTATAATATGCTTATTAAAATATATGGTTATAGCATGTTAAAATGTACATGCATAACAGATTTGGAGTCTTTTAATCAACAAATGGATAATATAATATCAAATACTTATGTAAAATACATCAACAGGCTAAAAATCCACGGATTATTTGTGCTCAAACATTACTGGAATGCTTTACTTATTAGGTAATTGGTCAAGATCCCCACACATATGACGGACCATATCAGTATACCGGGCGCCCAATATTTGGATTTAAACGGCGAGCAATGGTCATTTTTTATCGCAGCCACTTGTTGTGGAATCTCGGCACGGGCGGCTATGATCAACAGTGCGGGTGTTACATACTGAATGCCTGTACCCGCAAAAACAGCAACAAATGACACCTACAATAAAGGTAAAACTGTTGAATACCACAATATGTATGATAACTAATAAAATAATGATAAAAAAAAATTTTGAATTGAATTAATTCAATAATATAAATTAAAGTATTTTAAAACTTGTTCAACTTTGGGAAATAGTGTTTAAAATTTAAGGGTTTATTATGCTTTAAAATTGTAATTTTAACAAATATTCTTACTAAATCTTCAAGGCCCGATACAAATGCAGCTAGAAGTACAGGTGTAATCAATGAAAACAATGGTATAACTATTCGTCTCCATATCCAATGCGAGTCATTTGATAGAAACATCACCTAAAGTAAAAGTATACAATGTTTCGATTATACATGATTGTATAGTATAGGATTGATAGGGAAATTGTTACAAAATAGATATGTTATACTTAACATATTTAACGAAAAAAAAAAAAAATTATTCATATTTTTTTTTTAATATTTTTTAGTCTCTCAAGTTTTAATTAAAAAATGTTTACAAATTTAAAATTGTAATGCAAATTGATTTATTATATTTTCTGTACAATATCAACCAACATAAATTATTAAAATTTTCAAATTATTTTTTTTTTTTGTCAGATATATTATATACATAATATAAGATTAGAATTATATAAGATATCTTCAGAAATGTGAAGACATTTCAATCCCATCTTCAAAATTAATGTTTATAGTTTAGTTTTACTGTAATAACTATACACAAATGTATGATAAAATGCGTATGTTCATATTATTAAATTGATAAATTGTAATATAACCTTTGACCAACTCATGTAGTAACTTAATAATATAATTACAATTAACAATGATAAAAATTAAACCATTATGTTTATATTTACTTGAATATTATTCCGTAATGTAATTGTAATAACTGGAAAGCTAATACTGATTGTAAGTACAGGAAAAAGAACCAATATTGAATCAATCAATCTGTAAAATAAGCCAGTGTCTTGTGATGGTGTGAAGTTGATTGTGTACAATTCATCAACTTTTGGGAAAGCAAATACACCGGTCATACACAAAAACATATATAGTATATATACAAATAGAAAGTTAGCTGCCACCTTCAGCAATATTTTTGTTTTCTTTTTTATTGGTGAAATCACTGATGGAATTGAATGGTGACACATAAATGCATAAATAGAAGCACCTATTAACTGTGGTACAGCATTAAAGTTAACTGCTGGTGTGTTTCCATGTTCTTGGGTTGGTGAAATGAGTCGCATGGTAGCTAAAATCACCATTGTAATAATAGCTGAAAATAATAATAATTAGTGACAACGCTAAAAACAATTACAAACATTTATCGATAATAATAAAAAAAAAGTATAGATAAAACGATATCTATAAATAAATATATTATAAATATGAAATAACCTTACCAATTACACGCATTGAAAAACCCACAATTTGTAAATATTTAGTCTTTTGAGCATTGAAAAATGTAAATGGTGCTATTATTATGATATACAGCATCTATTTATAAAGTAAATACTATTAATAGGTCTCATTAGTAGAAAAATTTGCATATTTTCTAGTATATTTTATATAGATTTTTTTTTTTTTTATACTGAACATTTTTAAACTTATTTGTGTATTCTACTAACTTTTAAGAATAAGCTTATTATAAACCAATAGTTCAATGGTTAGTAATTAATTATACAATCTATACATACTAAATAGCCTAAATAAATTTCATGTCTGGTAAATGAAGTATTTTCCCAGCACAAATCCCAATTATTCGCAGTAGTAACATTTTGATTACTAAAAAGTATAATACATACAATTTTTTAGAAATTATTCAATTAATTAAATAGTACAAAATGGAAAAATAATTACCAAGTAAAGTCTACAAGTGATTGTCCAATAGCTTTATAGTAAATAGATAAATCACCAAACAAATAACCGCTGATGGAAAAAAAAAACATTATTCTTGCTAATGGAGGCAATAAAACATTTACCATTTCACCCTGAAAAAAATTATTGAATTAAAAATTATTCGTCCAAATAAACAATAATAAACATTACCATTTCAATCCTGTTATCCAGTGAGAGTAGTTTAACCGATTCAGGAGGAAAATCCATTAAGGAACCTAAAATAAAACAAAGTATATACATTTGGTGCAATAAAAAAAAAAAAATACATTCATAACATGTTAACAACATACAATTAAAAAATTGTTATTTGAACAGTGGTGAAATAATATTTTAAATAGAACAAATGCCAACAAAAATCATAATGTATACCTATAACATTTTTAATGGGAAATAATGTTTGCTTTCTTTAACTTTGATATTGGTAGGTAACTCGTAATTAATATGACAATTTAATAGAATTAATGAGGTAACTCAAATTATCTTATTTTTATTGTTATCAATAAAAAAAAAATTGATTTAATAAAGTATTATTAATACTACAGTATATGATAATTGTTAACATTATAGTTTTAATTAGTTACTAGATGTAGGCAATGCCGGATTGTCAAAAATAGGTGCTTCGTCACCACTATTAAAACTGTCAGTACTAGCATCTGAAATTCTATCATAGTTTATCGAAGATACTTGTGGCATCATGTCATTACACTAAAATCAAAATACAATTATATAAATTATACAAGTAAACAAGGAGTAGTATAATTCAAAATGATATTTTTTGGGTACCGATTTCAATGCTCTGGTAACACTTTTCATCCTTTCTAACTTACGGAGCTGAATAATAGAATTTGTAATCGTTATTGCTTCTATTACGAATGTGAATGTTACATAACTGAAAAATATATCGATAAGTAATGAATGTATATTACACATGTAATTATATTAACAGACAATATATTTAACAAACATCTTACCTCAGAAAAGCCATGGTAGCAATAAATATACTGCTCAGAAACCATCCAGACTGTTGAACAACCGCAGGCAATGTTAGAGCACCAGGTCCAATGATCAGGTTGAAAACAAAGATCAAGCCAATCTGAAAAGCGTAAACAAATCGCATAACATACATCTCAACGGTGTAGGAATCACTTGTCACTTACTGGCGTAGAGTACTGGGAACTCATGGTTGAGCAATTGTTGAACACGGGTTCGCTACAAACACTGTATACGGTGCATATGCGAGTGGCGTCACATATATTGATTTGTGTCAGGGCAGAGCAATAGTATTACTAATTTGTTCAGGGGCAACTGGATCCTCCAACACGTTTAACGGGCGGCAAAGATTTGAAACCGCGTTTATTCCGCAACGGACTGAATCGGAGTACAGGCTCTTTGGTCGGCCGTGACATGAGAGAAAACGATTCCGATTCGATCGGTCCCGAACGGAATTCCACGTGGTCCGTCGCTGCCGCTGTTGACGCGGACACAATGGACGAGATATCGTTATCCACCCAAAAACGGACGGCAACGGGAACAATGCGTTCGCCTTTGTTCGGCGCGAACCTGCGAAACTGCGGTCGCCGCCCACGACCGTGAATTACTCAGTTGTGTGCGCGCACGTCACGCATAGTCGCGAAGCCGAACGGTGCGCACGAGATAACCGACGCGGTCGCGGGACGTAGAAAAACAAGCAAAACGTGTCTCGTGCGGCGTCGATGAATCATCGGAAATTAATGGTAAATTACGGTGATGGGAAAAAAAGAACACGGGACGGAGGGGAAAAAAAAAAAAAAAAAAAACAAAAATGATTAAGATGCCGCCGCAGTCGAATCCGCGATTTTACCGGACGCACGGCGCGTATTGTAGAACGAACGTCGTACGCAACAGCTGCAGAGATAAGGATTACAACTCGGGTTGTACCGTGTTTACTGCGTCGCAGTAGTACCGCGGTCCGCCGGCGCCCGGGTTCACGGTCCTGCGACGACGACCGGACACCCGCGGCTAGTTCCATACTCCGCACGCGCATGCGCGCATCAAATGCTACATATATCATCAATTATCATTACGGGTGATAAGCGTAGGCGCAACTAGGAGAGCGCGAGAGGGGGTTTCTAACGCCACCGAGTTCAAATTTAGCGGTCCATTATTGTTTTCATCCACATTTATATCATCCATAGTAACTACGGTGAAATACCATTGGACTTCATTTTCAGCGATTTCAGCACCCCCATTATTTGGGTTCTAGTTGCGCCCCATGGTGATCAGCACTTATCCGAAACTGTTGTGTACATTAATTATTTAATATAATCATTATTAACGCCTAAGGATATGCCAGTAGACGTTTCTTTTATCAATTGTTCCGTCATCGATTCTACACCGTTTCTACTTTTTGCATATGGTTTGTTCGTATTGCTTGCACCGCCTAAACATACTGTTATACACAGAGCATTTATCCTTTTCATCATCGTCATGATTTGATTCGTGAATTTCATGAATTCGTGAGTTCAGAATTTTGCGGGGCCTCGTACAGCGACATGGTGAACTTGTTGATTCACGCCGAGGCGTAATCATTTATGTCTTCGAACTCCCACCGACCGCGAAAAAAATTGATTACCTTTATTTTTAAGAAAATATATTTGTTTTATCTAAACAATGCTTTTTTGATGATCTTCAAAGTTGCGTAATTATCTACTCAAAGTCAATTTTAAAATGCCTTTCACCGCTTAAAAACGTTGAACTTTCCAAATACAGACACCCTCTACCCTTTGTGCCTCGAATAAAGTCCTATGTCATGCCACTGGACTACGGTTAATGTTTCGCATATTTTATTCACCACGATTAGGTAAGTATTGTCTAATAACCAAGGCCTGGAACTTTATGCGCTATAAAGTACTAAAATATACGCATACATATGCGTTAAAAAACATCATAATATGCGCATACATATGCGTTAAAAACATCATAATTTGTAGTCGACATTTAGAAAATATGCAATATATTCATTAAAAAAAAATTTTTTCATTAGTTGCACTGCAGAATATTCTTTCCCTTCTCATTTTGCCTGCCCTAAGTAATATTATGAAGTTGTACGTCGGTATAGATACCTATATTTTGTAATAAATATTGTTATTATTTTGTACTTTTAATGACGCATGCACAAATCACCTAATTTTTGTAATTTTTATTTTAAACAAAACTATTTATTCGTTTAGAGTTGTTATTTATACCACATAGATTTATAGTAAACTTTAACTGGCCATACTGCTTAAGGATAAATGTGTAAGTTATCCAAAAATGTTTTTTTTTTTTTATATATATTTTTTCAAATATAAAAGTTATTATTATGGCATGAATTTCAATACAAAGTTCATCTTTTTTGTCTGATATTAGACAATACTTTTCAAGTACATAATATGTTTAAAGTAACATATTATTAACAATTCATGGGGTAAACTTTTTTTTTTGTTGCATTTTTCAATGTTTTTTCATATATTTCAGCGCAATAATATTACATTTATACGAGTATAATTATACTGTTTTCTATAAGTAGCTAGTGTTTAACGCATGGTGAAGAGGGGGTCGAGTAGTATGTGTGTGAACGGCAGGTGGTTTGTTGGTTGGGAGGAGTTTTTAAAGGGAGGAAGTAGTTTTCGATATGTTTGTCCGTGATAAAAATTTCGTTTTAATGAGTAAGTTAGAATAGGTTTTTCTATGATAAGTTACATTTTAAGGGAAAGATTATGGTGTTTGTTATGTTTATCTGTAATGAGAGTTGCATTTCAAGGGGCAAAGTATGGGTTTTTGATAAGTGTAGTGTATTATGAGTTGCTTGGGAAGAGTTTTTAAGGGGTAGTAAGGGCAGAATCCTCTATTTACTTCTACTTACATGTTTGGAGAATTTTGCTCATTCTAGAATTTTTGGTTATATTGCATTATGGCAATTATTTATTTCAAAGGTTTGCAAAGTCAACGGCAATTTCAGTGCTGAATGCGTTGTTTGACCACCATTCAAAAGTGTTGCCACATTGCAGATGATTCAATTGCAAGTGCAATTTTATTCCATGATCGAATGGTTGCCAAAATGATTGAAATGAGAAATGTTTTGCCTGTACTTCAGGGCGCATCTAAGAAGTACAAACTCTTTGATTAGTAATTGCTTGATTATTGTGTCATATGCAATGCGTTGTTTTGGAAAAATAATTTCGGAAGTTTCAACAAGTTTATCCAATTCATCGATATCGATAGTGTGTTTCATTTTGTAAATCTCGATCACAAGCGATTTTTACAGATCCATTCGGTGCACACATTCCCAACTGTACCAACCTTATTTTAACACACTGTTCACAGACTTATACAATGTATTATGGTGTGTATTTAAATATAAAATTAAAAGAGCAAATTATGTTTTCCAGGTTCAACGACTGATTATACAAACATTTATTTGGAATACATTGTAAATTACAACATATAGGTTCTATATTTGTATGGTCAAATTGTCTTTATTCAATACGTCTTATTGTTGTACAGTCTAGATTAATGATCAGGCATGGAGCGAAACTCCTAGACATCGGTAAACAAGTGCTTTGTATTTATTACAGAAAAATATTAAACTTGTTATTAATGTGTATGTATTAATTATATATTAATCACATAGGTAGTCGGTCAAATATAAAACAATGAAAATAGAGATGAATAGAAAAAAAACATAATGGCTTAAAATAAAATTAATCACAAATTAAATTAATTTCCCTTTTAAATTTAAATAACTCATATTCTAATTAATCATATCAAGCCTCAAATTTAATTCATTCTCAATTTTATCTTTCTTTTCGAAACTAAATAATTTTTTTATTTTTATTTTAATCACACTTCTTGCGGGAATCATAGACCCCATTTAATTTTTTTTTAGGATTTTATAGTTTTATGTTTAATAATAATAAAAACGATAAAAATTTTACTTGCATATAAATATCTTTCAATTTTTAATAAAATTATTAAAATAAAATAATAATAATATTTATTTTTTATAATAAATATTTTAAATCGAATTCTTTTTTCACAGTAAAACTGGATTGATTAATATCATAAGAAAAAAATATATTTACTCTAAAAGTATTTATTTTTTTTGATTTTAAAAGAACTTAATATTAATGCTACTGTAATATTACTGTTAACGTTACTGTACACTACATTTACAAAAACAACAATTTTTATGTTTATAACTTAATAATTTACGGCATAGAAAAAGTCCGATTCTCTTCTTTGCTTACTATTTTATAATTTTGTGTTTTGATAACACATATAGAGTAAAAAGCACAGTGATTGCCTAATAATCGAGTGTGCTATCCCTAATATCGGAGTCACCTTAATTATTTTTAGGACCTGGAACAAATTAATTCGGGGTCTCTTAATCATTATAATAATATACGAGTATGATAGAAAAATACACTTCAAGTTTGCAAAATTTTGATAAGTATAGTTTTCAAAATATCGACCTATCAAGGTTATTTTAATGTATCGATAAAACGAATTACATTTTTAATAACTTGGATGTTGGATAATTTTATCAAGCATTTTACAATACGTTATTTAATTTGACAAACTACAGTAGAGATTTAGCTTAAATAATATTATGCTATAGTTTCAAGTTTCCGCAGATTAATGAAATGTAGTCCTTAAGTGTACGGTATATCAATATAAAATAAAGTTTACCCTTCTCCCCCCAAAAAAAAAAAATTACTCAAGTTACACCCATTAGTACAAGTGGGCAATTATTGCACTGTACACAATCATATAATTTTTAATGATGTTAAACACGTAATGTGTGTTATTTTTATTAATGCATTATCTCGCTCGCGATGACAATAACCATAATTATAATTTTCCGGCAAAAATACTAACGTTTGCTGGTTGACTAGCAAAGTCAAATGAGCCGTTGAAAAAAAATTTCTATTCTCAATGGGTGTATTATCGCGGGAACGACTGTGACAGAATGATATTTACCGCAATGCGACGACAACAATTTATACTAGACAAAACTGCACGAAATCCGCCTCACCGTTTTTCGCGACGAATCAGACACTTTGCACAGTTCATCGAATAAGGTACTCATTAACTATATCAACGTAAATATTCCAAATTTTCTTCGGAAATATTGTTCACGTGATGTATAAGGAATATAACTAGATGTAAACGTTTCAACAGCACGCGATTACGATCAGCATTCAAATCGCCGACACTTTCATGATTAATGGACGACGTTTACTTGAAAAAATAACAATCGTTTCCGGCACCACTCCTTGTTTTTTTTTTTATCTTATAATGATAATATAACGCAAAGGGCTTCTTTCTTAAACATGCTAGTGCATTTAAAAGTCATCTCGATATTCATTACAATATTAAATATTTGCTGAACGCTTCAGAAAAATTAAATCCTACTGCTATTCATGTCTCTTTTGCACGTCTTCCGAACCGAGTATGTATATCAAATTACGCACGCATACGCACACGAACGATAGAAAAATGTAACAATCAATTATAGTTCATTGCAGTGGAATATGCACAACGACTGCAGTGAATATTCTAGAAATATACCTATTCGCCATATTCGGTTCCGAGGAGAGAGTCAGTTAAGAAAATTAAATAATAGCAGACATTAAGACATCAGAACTTCGATTTGTAATTTCCGCGTGGTTGAAAGTTTTGTGGTGAAGAAGACGGTGAGATCTATTTTATTGTGCGAGCCGACTGGGTAGGTACGCGTGTAGCTTATCAATAATGATTGTGATTAATAATTATTCACGCATGATATGCGAACTGAAATCGGAATTACGGAAATATCCCCGTTTGTTTGCTAGAATTTGTAATGATTTTTTAAACGCAACACTGCTGTAGTAAATCGATCACAAACGTAGATCCTATAAACATAGATCATACCGACAATGATTTTACTTTCTAACGTATCCCCTCATACACTATAGACATGCGTGTAGAATTTTATATTTTTGATGTCAAGTTAGTTATAAGCATTAGTAATCGTCAATCTACGCATATATATTTATATACCTACTACGATCACATTTAAAATCATCAATTGCATCTCTAACATAAAAACTGTTGCAGTCCATATCCAAATTAAACTACATAATAGTTTATTTTTCATATTCAGCTTTTGCTTTTCATAAATGTTTTTGTTTTCGAAACATTTTTATATTTTATACAATTAGGAAATCTTAAATACTCGATAAAAACGGCAAGAATTGAGAATGCAGACAACAGAGACCGATGGAGGGATTTAGTAGAAGCAGCAAAAAATCGTAATGGCCTGTAGAAGCCAAAATTAAAATAATTGTATACTTTTATACTTTCAACCACAATTACTGAAATAGAGTAATCTTTTACATAATTTGTTAAGTACAAATCAAAAATGTAACTAGTCATGTTAATTTTTTATACGTAAGTAAAGCTTAAACAAGTAGATTATAGTACCCATATTTTTTTTATATTACCTGCTATTCTTCTCTCTCAATGTAGATTTTTAAAGAAGCTGTTGATAGGCACTTATAAAAAATTAATTATTTGTTAGACTTTGATTTATCAATAATTTCAGAAAATATTTTGCTTCAGAATATAAAATTAAAATTAGAAAGGTATAAAAATATTTTTAAAATCATCTCGAGTAATAATAATTAAATTGTTAAAAATATAGCTCTCACAATAAATTAATTGATCAGAGTAATAAGAATTAAAAAATTGTCTGTATAATATGTAATACACCAATGTATATATTATACAGTTATAATTTATAGTGATATTCTGTTTATGGTATATTCTAATATAATGTAATCAGTACTGTGATCTATAATAAATTATTTTATGTTTATTTCATTGCGGCAGATACTATATAATAATACTATATATAAATCAAAATATATTATATAAATCTTAAAAAAAAATTATAGATGATAAAGAAACCTTCGGTATATTATCATATTATAATTACATAAAAATCGAATTTAATGTAAAAACATGTTTTTAATCTAAATTTAAGTTACAAGTTGATTTAGAGAAATTCTGAGTAAAACAAGTTTGGTTTTTGTTTTTACATATTAAATGTTCATCAAAAATGCACTTATGTGTATTTGTACGTATATTTTGAATTTATCATTGCAAGAAATCCAATACTAAAATTTAAAATAATATCTGATATATTCTTACTAACATTTTATCCTTGACAAAATTTTAATTTTTATTACTCACTCGAGCTATATTTTATAAGTGTAATGTACCATCGATAAACACATGCATACATCATCGCAGGCTACTAATTGGGCTAAGTGAGTTAAATAATTAAATTATAATAAAAATGTAAAATTATTTTTGATTAAAAAAAAATATCCGATAAAATGTAATACGAATGAGCGTAAAATAAATTATTTTGATGCATCGATTCATAAACATGTATACGTATAGAAAAACTTAGAATGTTTAAGGCATTTTTGTTGACACATATAGCATGCCAAGTTGTTGCAAGAGACGTGATGTTACCTAAATAAAAAATATGTAGGTATATGGTCACCATACGTATAAAATAGGTAATTGGTATCGCAGTGTTTACAAACACCACTGACCGCAGTTAATTACCCATTTATGGATTATACACAGTACAACAGTGTTTTTAGACTTGTGTAGGTAGGCGGTAAAGTAGTAATATTATAGTTTATTTACTTACGTGTTCTGATGACTTGCAAAGTGTGTATTCAAGTGACACAATTTCAAGTTATTCTAGAGTTTAGATAAGACAATTCAAAGCCGTTAAAACCGTTTAAAATGGTCATCTTTCTCACTTGTCGTTGCGGACTCGTATATACATAATAGGATTAATAAACATTTAGTCGGGAAAAAAAATATTTAAAATTGCTACAATATTTAAATATCGGCCACAATGGTTTTCCCTGGGGGGGGGGCTTAGTCATTTTGGCTGGAACCCGATCGAGCACGATTGATCTTTTTCGTTACCCGATTGAGCACGGTTGTAATCAAACAATAGGAACAAAAAAAAAAAATCCAAAAACCACAGGATTGAGCACGAAAATGGTCGTTGCCGCTTTGTACTGTAGAATATTTCAATAATTCACCATTTTTTCTAATCCCAATAAACCTAAACTTGTAAGTTCTGACATCAGCTAACTCTTTGCCTCTCTCGGATAAAAATTTCATTATTTTCCATTTAAATTTTCAAAATACACGTTATTCAGAAATACAACAAGAGCATATGAGACAACAGAACAGACTGGCTATTATTTACAGCGTAGGTACATTCAATAACAGTCCAATTGTTGTAGATAAAATTCTGGTTTCCTATCTATCAAAATTATTTTAAACTTCCGTGGTACCCATCAACCGATAGCGAAATTTTTTTTGACTAATAGTTGGTTTCCTATTAGTAATCTACATACAATACAATACATACTAGTAAAAATCTGACAACGTTGTACACAATTTTTTTTTTTTTTTACCGTGCTCAGTTGGGTCGTCAAAAAGATCGGCCGATAACGACCGTACTCAATTGGGTATCATAGGTCGTTTTTATTCTAAAAATATTGATGTTAGGCTTTCATTTTTAATGAAGTTTTCTTATGGTGTGGAGGCCAAACATCGGTCACATCCTAAATTTTCAAAACATGTTGGGCCTTGACCCGACTTCGTTATAGTGTTTCGCGCTACCAATTTATAAAACACTATTGGTATGCTATGAAGGCAAACAAACTTATTTCATCCTGATCCATAGGGTGCCAATGCCAGACGCGTTCCCGGGGTTCGGTAAATTACCAGATGAAACAAAACAGGTAAACAATCACACGATAAAATGGAACGAAAAAAAGAACAAAAGTTTACCAGAATGTAACTGACACGAAAAAAAAAATACGAATATGAAATTTCCTATGCAGCAATCAAATTAAATGCATATTACTTTCTGAACTATATAACCAAATAAACAAACAGTTAATGTATTATTGTTATTTAAATATATAAATAAATAGTTCATATACAGAAATAAATGCTTGGCCTGGAGTATTATTATATGTGTAATTTATGACTGGTTTCGAATTAAAAATTCATCATCAGGTACACAAAGTCAATAAAATCACTACTGAATATAAAAAAATAAAGGAAGGAATACAACGAGAAAAAATTGGTTGTTTTACATAATTAATTTTAACAGGAGAGATTGTTTAAAATTATATACTTCTATAAATGATTTCACAACATATGATTTTATATTAAGTGTTTAAATATTCAATACATTTTATACGCGCGTGTGACATTGAACCCGGAGGCGACCGTTTGGCAAGAGAAACAACACGCGTGCGAATAACGAATAGAAATACAAATCTATCGTGTTCCACGGGGTCGTCGTTTCGGTTTTATTCCTTATGATTGTATTAAAATATTATAATGTGCATCGATAAATAATTAATTCATTATAGGATATGCTTGTTATTCTCGTCGTGGCGTGAACAACGCGACGCGGCTAAAATGTAATAATAATAAAAAAATTAAAAATTAACTTTTGAAATATAAAAACATATGTATGTAAATTTTAAACCAATTTTTTGCATCAATCATAATGTATAATAACTTAGAAGTTTAAGCACATTTTCAGCAATAATAATAATAATAATAATAATAATAATAATAATAAATATTAATAAAATGTAAAAAAAAAAAAAATTATAATAACTGATGCCTTTACATTTATTTAAATTGTTTACACTTTTCCACTGTTTTTTAAAGCATTTATTTCAGTACGCATAACATGTAGCTTCATCTCTAAATTTTGCAGCCTTTGGTAACTTTTGCAAGTAGACTTAAACAAAACTACCATAAATAGTAATAATACCTTCTATTAATTAAATGACGCAAACATTTTTCCTGTTTTTGTAAATTATTTTTTTGAATTGAAGACACCACTTGATCAGTATTTTCTTCATTAGTTAATAAAAATTGAACGATCCAAATAAATGCAAACGAATAATGATTAAATTATTTATTGCTTTAAAATCAGTTATTTTAAATATGGAATTCTCATAGTTTTCATGTGCGCTTAATTGAGAGATTTTGATAGCAGCGATGGTGCCGAACGGACCGCTAAGCTGATGAAAATAATAATAATAATAATAAAACAAGACGCAGTTGTAAAACGGGACGATAATCACCGCCGGTCATTGAGCGTGAAATAAAAATAAGTATAAAATATAAATACACACACACACACACACACACCGGAACATATAATGTACATTAAATATTAATATATTTATATATATACTATTGTTGTAGGTCGGCCGGCGTGGCACCTGCGTTGAATTTGTCGCGGATTTAAAGTGAAATGCTACTGAATCCGCGTTTCTCCCCGCGCGTACGTATTATTTTTATATACATTAATAATAATAATAATAATAATAATAATCGTAGTGGTGTGTTTTCGTTGTTATTGTTATCGTCGTGTCAATGGGAAACGACAGCGAAACAAACGCGTCATACGAATCCGGGGACACAATAGGGTCGACGGCGGAGGAACGTAGTCGTCTCTATGTACGCGCGTGTATATTGACACGGACGAGAGGGAGAAACGCGAAACGCAAACGAAGTGAAAGAGCATAAAATACGATTTATATACGCGCAAACGACTTAAATGCCGAGCACGTCTTCTTCAACGTTCCTCTCGTCGTCGCGCGCGCGCGCATCGAGCGACTGCGCTGTCGCGGCGCTATATAGCCCAACAGTGAAAACCTCTGCCGTCCGGCACCTGAACGGAATATCAGTGTCAAACCGCCGAAGACGAACGAACAACAACAACAATAAAAATGTACGGAAAGAATAAAAAAAAAAATAAAAAAAATAATATTTATACATAGATAATTCGTAACGATTTTTTTTTTTTTTTGCGCTCGGCGGTCGACGTGTTCTCGTGTACAGGCGCGCAGCGGTAATTGGCTGCGTTTTGAAAATCGCGACGACAAGCGGATACGACGCCCGCGCGATGCACCTGTGCGCCGACGGCCCGTCGAGAAACCCGATTGAATAACGACGACCCAATTCGACCGAAACAATAATGTCGCGTGCGATATACGTCGCTCGCACGAATGCATTATGTTTTCGGCCACCGCATCCGTTTTCACGTGGCATGGAATTCGTTCTGTCCGCTGCGCCACGAGTCGTACGAACCCAAGGGTCGGACCGGATGGGTTCACGTGGTGCACGCGCTCCGCAAATGTTCCGACCGTAAACGACTTTTCGGTGGCGTTCGAACGTTTTATTTTAATAGTATTTGAAAAAAAAAAAAAAAAAAAAAAAAAAAAACCACTATAAGTTCCTAACCGTTTGCAATCGTCTGCTATTGAGCATGGAATTTACCGGTAATGTTTTGATGTAAAAAAAAAAAAAAAATCCTCCACAACGCAATACGTATTATGTTGTCTGGCAAATTAATTTGTATTGGCCCATTGCAAGTGCGATACACGAATCCAGCAAAACGAGGCACCGGATCAAAAAAAAAAAAAAAAAATGTTCACTCTTATCCTGTATACAGTGCTGTAAAACCCGAGTGTGCACGGTGTACATTACACACTGGCTTCGGGCTGCCATGACTGGCATGAAAATATCAATGTATAATTTACTTTAATGAAACCAACGTTATTTATTGACCTCATCAGTTCCCCTTGCTTTGCATCCTTCCGGGTTATTTTCTCATGTTCGAATCGTATAAATATTATAAAAAAAAAAATAATAATAAGAAAATAATGTATACTAGGCAGTTGTTTTGAAAATAAATATAATATTTATTTAATTTATTTAATTTTGTATAACATGGTTTTAATGATTGTATATTATAATGAATTAGTAGTTTTCACCCAATAACATACCCAAATTGTTATGTGTAATAATATAGGTATTGGTTAACTATGTTAAATATTTTAATACCCTTTTGGTATGACAGTTTAGTGTAAATTATTTATTTCAATAATAAACAATCATTCTACTTTTAAATTTAAAAAATTTCTCTCCTTCCAAAAATAAAATTTTTTTAGTTGCTATTGAAAAATGTATGATAATAAGGAGCCTCAAGTATTTATAGTTATGACACTGCTTGTATATATACATACCGTAAGAAATAATCGCGATTCTATATTAGTCAGGTTACTAGTGTTCAGACTACACTAAAATACTAACATAGCTGTCAAACAAAATATCTTTCATTTCTTTATGTTGTATAGACATGATAGTATTGGTCTCCATTCCATCTCAGTCGCAACAATGTTATCTTTTTCTTAATCACATCCAGACATCCTTGTGTTTTGTTATCTTTACAAAGTTTTTACGAATACAATTTTAACTGCACAGTTATCACATCGCAAACTAGGCACTTTTTTAAAGGGATTTTTTGTATTTTCATCTCCTAGTGTGATTACACAAGCATTCATACGATTCAACCGTACCGCTCTAAGATACTTAATTTATAAACTTTCTTCCGATAAAATGCATTGAATTTTTGACATTATATTTATTACCTGAATTTAACGGACGGAGGGTACATCCCGTTTAACTTGAGGCGTCGAGTGGTTTATTTTCGTGAACGTGGGCGTGTATTCGATTTCAATAACCGATTAAAAAAAAAAAAAAAAAAACGCGCCGAGTGATAAATGTTTTTCGATAGACACATATCACGACATCATATATTGATTTAATCAATGTGGTTAAAACTCTCAAATAGTATGTATTTTACTGTGCAGCAAGTATACTATCCTCGTAATATCGATTTCAGATTATTGTAATTTACAGAGGAAGATCGCGGTCAAGTTCATACGTGAGTATATCAATTATTACTATTATTATTAGGAATCGCAACAACAACACGCGTTAAGTAGCCAATATAAGTTGCCTCTGGCTGCGTTTAACTCCTGGAAATTCAAGCGCACGAAAATAGTTTTTCTCGACAAGTTACACCTTACACGCACGCTGCAGTATCTAATATCAGTTGTTGTGTAGTGTGACCGGCCATTGACGATTATTATATTATATACGATAATAATATAGCTGTATTGACTCGACGAGACCGACTGGTCTTAAGATTTTTCACGTTGTTTGACCCGTAGTGTTCTTTTTTTTTTCATTCTTGCACAGGGAACACCGCGGTATCCGTAAAATGTGGGCTATATTCATAATTACCATGGTTGTTTCAAACGCATATTCATTTATTGGTGTAAATATATAAATATATTAACATGCTACGATCGGGGTAATGAGAAGCAATAAAAACCGGTAGTGTTAGAGTACATTTCTCGTTAATTATAAAATTGAAAATATTAATAAATATAATCTCGTACAGTGGAGCGTCAATTATTCACTACAACATTTTTTGTGCACGAATTTATTTTTAGTTTAATTTAAGAATTTAGTTTTTTTTATCATGTACGTATTATGAAATGGTATGAACAACAACTAGGGTACAACCGAACTTTTATTATTAAAAAGAATAATGGATTTGACCTCGAAAAAAAGAAGTTCATTGGATATTTATGGATAGTTCATTTGGTATAATAGACATGAAGTCTTCAACAAAACATACAGAAACTTCTTGTGGGATTAGAGATATAAGTTTAAAAGTACTTAACTATCTATCTTCGATCAGACAAAGACTAAATTTTTTGATACCATGATTGTGTAAGATGAAATCTGCAGCCGACTACAAGATTACTGGATTATACTTAAGAAACAGCTTTGTGTATTAATTTCTCAAAATCAATTGTTATTGTAATAGGATTTAAATTTAATTCTTTACATTTCAGAATTATATAACTCATTGTATAATCATGAATTATGTATTTATTGATCGATTTGCTAGCGAGGGGACAAAACACTTTTAGTATATAATGTCTAATTGTAAACATTTGAGTGGAGTGTTTGGTACAATAAGATTTATTTTACTTAGTAAAAGTTCCATCAACATAAATTCCACCTGAATTACATAAAAAATTTAAATTTTCTGAACAGGAAAAACACATTACTTTTTTCTATCATTACCAAGTAAAAAAATTGTCATCGAAAGAGGTTTTAATTTTTGATCAATCAATAGCTGAATATACTCCGTCAATATTTGTTGGTTTATTCGGCAACAAAGTTTTACGAGCCGCAAAAGTTAAACATAAAATAATAACGATTACGCTGTGTATTGTAACGCCATAGCATTATTTTATATAATTTAGTTTGATTTTTACTTAGTTGATTTTGTTTACTATAATAGAGTTAAGTTTGAAAAATTGATTATTCTTTTATATTAAATAAGTTCATTCCGATAGATGTTTCAAAGTTAATATAATAACAATTTACTCAGTGATCCACACGCCGAGAGAATGCAAGTCACAGATCAAAATATTTGTACCGTAATATTACAGCAGTAACGACTCACCACTAGCAACTAGTATCATTCATAGTTTTATTTTTAAAATGTTAGTCTACAGATAAATGACTATTGAAAAATATATTTAGAGGAAAATGGACAGTGAAGGAAAGTGATATTTATTTGTGAAGCAAAAAGAAATTTTAATTTTTTTTTTTTTTTAGAAAAATAGACAACCGAAGAAAATGGTATGGTATCTCATTTTTGGAGGAAAATGGTCCCGCCCTTATCTACGAGTACATTCAAATATACAATGAATTAAATTTTAAAGTTGTTTACATATTTTGTTGACAAGTATATTTGTTAGGGTTGTGTTTTATTGTAAATTGGAGACATAAAACATAAAATTTCTGTATAAAAATATTTAAAAACATTTGTATACTATAATATAAAAATTCAGTAGTAAGACTAACACAATTCTAAAATTGAAATCAACTCAAATAGGTTAATTAGTTGGAAATTGGAATGTTTAAAATTAAGTTAATTATGTATTCTAATCTGGGAGATAAATGAAAAATTACAAGTTAATTGATAAAGATTTCTTATACATTAATGGGAATTTTACGTGTATGCAGAAAATCCTAAAGAAATTATTATATTTAATAGGTTTTTTTTTTTTTTTTAAATAAACGAACAATTTTTTTATGTCAAGTTAAAAATTAAATATTGATTTTTAGACATGCATTATTTAGCTAGGGCTCTATCAAAATATAATATCTTGCTTAACATCTACTTCTAATAATGCACCCAATTAAACTCAACATTAACTAAATTAAACATTAGTTAAATAACAATAGGATTCAAGATTTTTTTTTGTACTTGACGAGTAAAAATAAAATATAATTTCAATATAAAATTAAATGTCCTTGGATTGTATTATTATATATTGTTGGCCATAGAACTAATGGTCGTGTTATGTAATTTTAATACAAAACGTGATGAAAAGTCAAAAAATGAAAATGAGGGAAATATTGAAGTAGTCGTCAGAAGATGTATCGAGGACGTCCTTGATCGTTATTTCATTGTTACACCATTTTTTATGATTTCTTATTTTGAACAAATCAATATCATATAAAACATATGCACATGGCCACCACAACAATAAATATTCCTACGTGATTTGTGTGTATGCAAGTGTGCATGTACTTATTCGAATGCTCAGTAACATGTATGAGAAGTGAATCTTTCTTATGATAAATATTATTATGGTATATTACCTATATTGTATTATATTACTTACTGTAAAAAGTAACAGCAATATGGATTGTATGACCGTAACGAAAATGAACCCTTTTCGGCGGTCTTCAACATAAACCGCTAATCTACAAAAAAAAAAAAAAAAACTACTCACTTACGCTTTCTAGTTTTTACACCGTGTCGCAATAATCAAATACGAACAACACAATACGTTGGTTCATAAAAACATATCATGTACATAAGTGTATTCGGTTTTGATTATATTCACGTGTATTTTTAAAAAACAAATACTTGTTTTCCAATAAGAATTAAATTAAATCGTGCAAATTACATTTTTATTTAGCATTAGTGTATACGATATTTCATCGTGTAAGTTAACACTTTATTTACATATATTCAATTTTTTTTTTTCGACGAAGTAAGATGAACGTAATACATTTGCGTTATATAAATGAAAGTGGATCCATTAAAAAGTGATTTTCAATCGAATTCAAATATGTTTCCAACATGTACGTACCTATATTTGATTTATCAAGAGGGAAATGGAATAAAATATTTCGTTACCATATAATATTTACGTTTATAATTTCTTTCGTTGATGATTAAATACATCGTCTCACTTGTAAATATAAAATAAATCATAATTGTATTTTTTTTTTAGGCACTTGTTACGCATACTGACATACATGGTATTAGGTACATGTTT